TCCATATAAGTTTCATTATCTTGTTTGTGATAACCTCCTGGCGATAAGCCACCAATACTAACTCGTATGCTTTGAGAATAGCTGCTTTAATCTTATCATAATTCGTACAATCTTCTAAAGAGAGAGTGGCATAAGCTTCTTGTGCTTTACCAGTTAAGACACTTTATGATAATAATGACCATTTTTCGGTGGGCCATTCCATAGTTTGGGCAGTCTTCTCAAATATTTATCAACTTCCTTTTCGTTGAACCATGGTACTTTAACATATCGATTAAGTTCAAAGTTGTTATTTTGCCTTGGTCGATCGGAGTTGAGTCTAATTTCCATTTCTTTCAGCCTAATTTCTTTTTCGGCTTGAATGCGAGCTTGTTATTTATCGGCTTTGATTTTTATAAATCATTGTTTGTAATAACTATTATTGTAAATTGTATTGTTGTGTGTGCATTAAAATGTATTTGTGTTAAAAAAGAAAACTGTGTATATCAATCTTGTTGGCAAATATCATAAATTGACTATATATTGGCTTTAGTTTAACTACTACATCCAAAGTATAATTTAACTACTAAATATAATTTATCAGTTAACCCAATTTCAGGCAATTTGATATTCCAATACGTAACATATTAAATTTTGGGCTAGTCCGGGATTTGAATCAGAGACAAAATTCAATCTAATTCAAAAATTGAATTTATATCTAATTATCAAGATTTTCCTCAATCACCCTCCGTTGAACAACTAGAAAAATATAACAAAAATTAATTGCTAAAAACTATCAAAGTTTAAGAACTAGAAGTTAAAAGGTCAATGAAAAAAAAATGAACTAAAACAGCGTATTATCGAAATACTAGTCTATGATGATTTGTTGCCTGAGGAAGCATTAGAGGAATACTCTAGTGTCTCTACTAGCCAATCGTGGTTAAGTGATAAATATAAATTAGAGATCCAGCTAAAAACTCGAGCTCGAACAAGCTCGTATTGAAGCCGAGAAAGAACAAGCTCGAATCGAAGCCGAGAAAGAACAAGCTCGAATCGAAGCCGAGAAAGAAAAAGAACAAGCTCTGAAGTATTTCACAAACTTAAAAGCACTATAAAGTCTTCCTTTCAGTCTGGAACTGTTTCAAGATCTTAACTTATCGATGAGTGAGTTGATTACGAGTTGACGTTGGTATAATTCACTTAACGGTAAGCTAGCTAGCTTTGTTCTTCGTTATTTACTAGCCACACATACCGATATTTTCCTACCAGTGACGTTAGGTAATGTTTTCGTAAAAATACTAATGTCCAATGAGAATCCACTGAAGTTAAACGATTTGTAATGTTCGAACTTTGTAAAGGTTCTACGTTAAATATCTGAAGTTTTCGATTGGTAAGCGTTATAACAATCACAGTTATAGTTCAGAAGTTTATAGCACACTGACAATAATGAACATATAATAGATACTGTCCTTTTGGCACGTCGCATTTGTTCTATTTATAGTGAGTGGAGGTTTTCTAGAAATTTATGTAACAATACTATCGCTAACATATCGTTTACGTATGCACATATTGTTGATTCTCTCTTTCGAGAATCTTCTACAACTTTACAGAATAGGCGGGAATTTTTCAATACATATTTAACAGTATTAGTTATGTATGTTTCTAAATATAAATTTAATCTAAACAAACGTTGATATTAAA